TTATCTTTTTACTTCAACAGAGCATTCGCACCTTGGTCACTGCATTAACAACAGACATCACCCAGCAGCAGTTTTCTCCAAAGCGCAAATATCTCACCTTCATCTTTCGCGGACTCTGTGTTACCTTCACTTGTGACGGAGGATCTATTTTCAGGACCAATTTGCAGTGTTCATTTTTTTTTTATTTTAAATTTATTCTGTGTAAGCATCATCGTTTTGTATATTAGTGATATGCAGCCTATCCATTCAAATTGTAAGTGCTGATTCTACGTGCCTTCCTCTCCATCTCCTATTTTCAGGCCTGTGGCCTTTTTGAATAATTTCAAAAATAAAAACTAAGAAATTAAACGAAAGTAGGCCAATTGAAATCAGGGAATGCATTATCATATAATGAAATGGGACGGAGCAAGAAGTGAGAGGCAGAACAGAGCCGAGAGTCTCTTCGAGCAAAAAAAAAAAATCTAAAAAAGAAGGCAAAAAACAACGATGCATGTCCTCTCTCTGTTTTTTTTTTTAAAATTGCCATTCCGAAAAGTTACGACACATTTTCTTCAATAAATGAGTGTATTTGACTACTCTCCATGTCTGTAAACATAAGTCCTAGTTTTTAGATTTGTTTTGGCTCCGTATAATTTCTCGAAAGGGAAACAAGTGATAAAATTGAAAGATTGGTAGCAAATAAGTGGTCTAAATGAAGTGCTTGCAATTTTATCCTCTCTCAGAAGCCTGCAAGCTTGACGATGCAGCACAGGAAACTGAGAAATAAAAGCCAAAGAGCAATATCGATCAAAGCTTAAAGAGACAAAGGTTGAAAACATCATTTTCTGCTATAAAGTAATTTCAATCCTCATTCCGTGTTTATTGCTCACACCATCCTCCACGCGCAATTGACTTGCTTTTTGGGTTGACCCCGGTATATACTTTTAAAACATATAAACTAATTTTAATTGATTTTTTCTCATTTGAAACTTATAAGGGATATAAAATATGATTAATTGTTCAAAAATAGCATTAATTTCTTTATCATCTCTTTTAGGCGCAAATGCATTCTACTGTCATTGCCCAAAATCTAAACCAAAAATTAAAATTTAGCCACAAAAACCGTCTAATCCTAGTGATTCATTAGTCCTGCCTAGAGGGAAAAACACTATTATGCCCAATTCTAAATATAAGAGTTATACAGCAAATTTAGGAATATTAAGAATATTAGTTAAATTAACTAATATACAAAATGATGATGCTTACACAGAATAAATAAAATAAATAAATAAAAAGTGAACACTGCAAATTGGTCCTGAAAATAGATCCTCCGTCACAAGTGAAGGTAACACAAAGTCCGCGAAAGATAAAGGTGACATATTTGCGTTTGGAGAGAACTGCTGCTGTGTGATGTCTGTTGTTAATGCAGTGACCAAAGTGCGAATGCTCCGTTGAAGTAAAAAGATAAAACCACTGTTTTCTCTAATAAGGTGGCAAAAGAGGTTTTTTTTTTACATTGCCAGTGATATTTTGGTCTTTTCATTTTTTATTTGGAAAATAATTCAATGCCTTCTTAAAAGTGTACCAAACACACCCACGGTAATTAACATTAGGTTGCAATGCATCCCATTTGGGATAAAAGGGAAGCTTGAATACGCAACTTAACTTGCCCAACCTGTGCATTTCCGCCAACTGGACATTACAAGGATTAAATTTCCATAAAACTTCCTAAACTGATAGCAGTTAAGTAGCACAACACGAGGATAAGCTCATTTTGAATATCAAGGAAAATAGAGGAAAAACAAATCACCTGAATTTTTGCTTGAATCCACCAAGACAAAGGAAATCTGAACTTAATATCATAAAAACATAATATCTTTCAAGCCACGTGTTCTATTCTTCCACGTCACAGTTGGTGGGCTTGGGAAAATAAAATCCTTGGACTTCCTAGGAACCACTTCTTTGTCATTAGTGTTGTCACAGGAGCAACCTCCTTCGATTCCCACTGAATTCGGCTGTGACTGTAAAATATATACTTTTAAAATATATCGACTAATTTCAATTGATTTTAATTGTCATTACCCAAAATCTAAACCAAAATTAAATTTAGACACAAAAACCGTCTAATCTTAGTGATTCATTAGCCCTGCCAGGGGTAAAAAACCCGTATAATCCCCCCCCAGGCCCTGTTTATTTCCCATTGAATTTAAGCTTTTGGATGAAGGCCTTTAGAGAAATTTGGGAGAAAGTCTCAAGCTAATTTCCTAACCATGCATTAAAACTCTTCGGAAGTCACCTGGAAACCAATTACAGCTGTATCCCATACTCTAAGAAATGTTGGACATGTGAAATAAATTTTTAGACCCTATCTTTATATATGCATGATATTGTACCAAAAACAGAAGAAAAAGATGAATTTCATTTTAGATTATTTATCCGCCTTCAATATTCCCTTTTTTTTTTCTTTTTGTTTTTGGTGAGCAGTAGGGTATCCCAATTTCAACACAAATTCCACTCTTTCAAGAACTCGCATGCGTAATCATTAAGAACTCGCATGCGTGCCGACTTAATTTTCCACACTTCCACACTTGGTGGGGCTACCATGTGAACATTTCTCCGTGTGTATCAGTATGCCCCACCACCCTCAAATGTGTAAAAAAAATCTTCAATGTCATTAAAATAAACTTGAATCATTTTTTTGGTTTTTTAAACGAATAAGATACTTATATTACAATTTAACAATAATCCAAGCAAGCCCATATTTAATTTCATGATAGAAGATAAAAAAAAAACACCACAAACTAATTAAATTTTGGTTTTTTTTTTGTACTTACTTGGATTAAGATAAAAGGCAGTAATGTAATTTAAATTTGGATTAGTTTTTACATGAAAATCAGTTTGATAAATAATATGTTTATTTAGATGATTAAATGGTTATAAAATGGCTAAAAACGAGTATTTGGGATCAGATGCTCCTTTTTTTTTGGCAAAAAGCCAGTTTGGGCCGAGATCATACTCCCAAGCACAACGTGAATCATACGCTAAAAAAGCCGACAAAGGGATTCCGTGGCTGACGAGTCAAGAGTAGCTTTAATTAACATGCATTGGTTGCTTTATTTTTTGGGTATTTGCATGCATGTGTGATGTGTCCTCACTCAATAATTTAATTTGCTCTTCACGTGATGTGCGTAGTAACGTAGGGGGTGAAGTTTTCACCCCACTCATAACAGCCATGTGCGTGGGCCTTCGAATTTCAGGAACTTTTCCAGGTCAAAAAGAATTTATGGCATTTTATGCAATAATCTGCTCCATAATAATGCATGGGAGTAATATTGTTTTCACCCCTGCAAAATCCAACCAGTCAAAAGCCCTCCTTGCCAATTTATTGTTACCGTTTTCCAGACATTAAATTCATCTCCTGCGGTAACGTGTTCCGCCAGTTCCGTGATTTGATTATTTTCTTTCTTTTTATTTTCAAGCTATTTTAAAAAAATTTAATAAATTTTAAGTTTTATCATTATTTAATATACACTATATTACCTTAAAAAATACAAAGTCTATAATACTACCTCTTGTCCTTTTTTTTTAAGATGTCCTTCTAATAATTGTTGTTCTAGCCAATAAACTTAGTTATTAAAGATATTATAGGAAAGATAATACTTATTTGTTACAAATAACTAACTTAACTTATTCTTTTAATTTGCTCAAATTAGTCAACCAGTTATTATATGTAGGATTGAAAGTAGTAATGAATGGGGACGGGTAGTTATTGGCTAAATGGCTCTCATAATCAATTTTTTTTAAAAATTATTTTTACGTTTTATGAATTAAAATTCTTCTCTTTAAAATAAGGTAATCCAAACAACCATCAAACTCGTTTTGCCAGCAAGTCATCTAGGAGCGATCTTCTGTAACTTCTCCTCGCGCGATTACTAAAAGCGATGAAGGCTAAGGTCTAAATTAAAATTAAGCTTTTTAAAACGGAACAAAAATGTCACTTGAATGGTACGGAATATATACCTTCTTTCTTTCTTTTTTTTGTGTCAAAGATAGGGAATAGATGCCAGTAATTTTCTGGTTAAATAAAAAAAAAACTATACCAGTAATTTTAGAAACGACTGGCAATAGTTCGGGTTATGTTAATTAAAACATAATTATTCTCCAGTTTTCTGTTTCGCCTTTAATTCTAGCCATAGCTATCTGCAGCCATAAACGAACTTAAGTTTTCACGAATCTGAAAACAAATTAAACTAATTACCTTACTGGCATTAAGGTAAAAATAATAATTGTTTTATTTTACTTTATTATATTTAATACAAATTAGATGCACATGTCCATACAAATACGTGAATGACAGATACCGCGTGGTACTGTGATCCAATTGTGTGTGAACTTCATCGAAACCAGCCTCTCTCCTTTTTGCCTTAGCTGCCCCTCTTTATTTAAAAGTCACCGTTTTGGTGCGGAATAGGTGAAGCAGAACCCTTTTTTGAATTTTTTAAATAAGCATTTGGCTTTGTCAAATATTTTCTCAGTAACACCTAAAACTTGTTTGGAATAATTTATAAACAACTTTTTAATTGTAAGTTATAAAATACAATATAATTATATGAGAAGAGTTTTATCTTAATTTATATAAAAATACTTATAAATACTTATCAAAATGGATAAAAATAAGCTTCGATAGTCTAAAAATAAAGCGTTAAGCATCACTAACTAAAGTGGCGAGGGCAGCGGATGAAAAGAAGCCAGTTCCCACTTTCTAACTTGCTTTTGGGTTTAGTCAACATTTCGGGTAAAGTGCCGGAGTAATTTACTTGCTCTCCGTACTATGCTTTCTTCATTTAGTGCCGTCTTTCCCTTCCTCTGAAATTTGAGAGCCACTGATTCATTAATTTACCCAACCGACTTCTGTAACCTCATCTTCCCCTTCGGCCGGTTTGTTTCCTATTACAAATTCTTGGATCTGAATTGAAAGCAGTCCCAATTCTCTTTTGCATATTGTGGCCAGGCGATCTGCTATGGCTTCATCTTCTTCCTCTGCTCCATCTTCTCAATCTTCCAAGAAATATGATGTTTTTATTAGTTTTAGAGGTGAGGACACCCGCTTGAATTTCACAAGCCATCTTTATCATGCTCTTTGTGGACAAAAAATATATGCATACATCGATGACAGCCTCGAGAAAGGAGATGAGGTATGGCCATCTCTTGAGAAAGCCATTAAAGATTCAACTCTGTTCCTTGTGGTGTTCTCAGAAAACTATGCATCTTCCACGTGGTGCTTGAAGGAGCTTGCAAAAATATTAGAGTGCTGCAGAAATCAACGTCACCTTCTTATACCTGTGTTCTATAGAGTAGATCCTTCAGATGTGAGGAAGCAACGTGGGAGTTACCACGAAGCATTTGAAGGACATGAGCGCAAAAGCAGCAACAACACGCAACAACTGCGCCAGTGGAGGGAGGCTCTCACTCATGCTGCCAATTTATCCGGTTGGCATTGTAGCCCCGATAGGTAACTTGTATATATATGCTTATGATCTTTCTCTGATATATGTATATATCTAGTTATGTCATCTAATATAAGTAATATTTCTCAAAAAAAATATTATGACAAATTTTAAAATTTGGCAAATCTTCATAGTTACATGTCATTAGGAATAGTTCAAAATTTGAAATGGATAGATGATGTGGTATTAAATTTGGTGCCTCTTTATTTTTTCAATGGTGTGTAGGAATGAAGCAGTGCTAATTGAAGAAATAGTGAATTGTATCATGAAAGAGTTGGACCGTAGGTATCAAAGTGAAGATCATCTAAAAGGCTTGATTGGAATTCACAAAAAAATGGCAGTTGTAGAATCAATGTTGGACAAAGGTTCAAAAAATGGTGGTTGCCAATTCATTGGAATTTGGGGGATGGGCGGTTTGGGCAAAACAACTCTTGTAAGAGCATTGTATGACAAGCAGCATTTTGAATACGAAGGGTCTTACTTTCTGGAAAAAGTGGGAGAAAAATTAAAAAAAGATGGAATAGATGCTTTAAGGAAGGAACTTGTTTGGAGTTTATTGGGGGGTAAAGCAATATATTCTCATATCATGACTAGGCTTCGTCGGACAAAGGTTTTCATTGTGCTTGATGATGTTGATAATGCTGAACAATTAGAAAATTTAGTTGGAAGATGTGAATTTGGATCAGGTAGCAAAGTCTTAATAACAAGCAGAGATAAGCAAGTGCTTCGTACGAAAGTGGATGATAATAATATATATGCGCTTCATGGTTTGGATCCTTATGAAGCTTTTCAACTTTTCTCCTTGAATGCCTTCAAAACAGGCTGCAGTGATCCGAAGATAAAAGAGCTAGCAGAAGAAGTGACTAAATATGCAGGTGGAAATCCATTGGCTCTAAAGGTTCTAGGCTCCATCTTGCGTGGCAAAAATCAAGAAGCATGGAAAAGCCAATTGGCAAAGCTTCAAAAATTGTTTTGTCCAGAAGTCATTGATATCCTCAGATTGAGTTTTGAAGGACTTGATAAGGAAGAGAAAAATATTTTCTTGCACGTCGCATGTTTTTTCAATTATTATTATGATGCTGAGGATGTAAAAAAATTGTTAGATACATGCAGTTATTCAACCGAGATTGGATTGACGATACTTGAGGAAAAAGCCCTTTTAGATATTGATAGAGGACGAATATGTATGCACAGTCTAATAAAACAAATGGGTAAACAAATTGTCCGTGAAGAATCATTAAATTATCCTACATGGTGCAACATATTTTGGATTTTCAAGGAAAGTTCTGATATATTGAAGAAAAAGATGGTAAGCGTGAAATTTCTACATTTATTTATTAAAAAGATTGTTGAATTCCAAATTCCTATTTGACGTATATAATATTTTTATTACTATTATAATTTTTTTGTTTGTTAGGGACGTATTGAAGGCATGGTTATTAGCCTTTCAGAAGTTGAAGAGACGTGCGTAATTATTAAAGCATTTGATTCAATGCCCAATCTAAAGTTTCTTAGGGTTTGTGGATATTTGAATGGACAGCTTAGGAACAAGTTAAATTCTTCTTGTATGAAGTTTCTGTCAAAAATCTCATGCTATGGATTGGGTGGGATGCCCTTTAGAGTCCTTGCCAACGACATTTAAGGCTGAAAGTCTTGTTCGATTGGAAATGCCCTACAGCAGATTGACAAGACTTTGGGATGGAGTGCAGGTGAATTTTATATTTTTTCTTACAAAATATTGTTAACACATCAGTTGGAAAATCTTTATTAAATACGCTCCGCTCAGCCCTTTTTATAAGGTCCAGATAAAATCTCTTACAAAATTCAATGAAATATTGATAACCCATTCTAAATAAATGCCTTCGTCTTTCACCCTCACACTAAGCTCCATGACCTTTACTTATAAAGATTACTATCTCTGTTGAACTATAAGCATCAAATCTTTGAAGCTTTTTTTTTTTTTTAATAAGTTATAATTTGGATTTACCTAATCATTAAATACATCATTTTTTTTTGGTGAGATACATCATTTTTATTTTTTACTTTTAATTGATTATATATCTTTCTAATTCTTTTTTTTTCCACTCATTCTCTCATATCTCTTTTTCTACATATTTTTTCTCTCACTTATCCTCTTCATAAACAAACATGTTTTAAGAAAATAATTTACATTTTCTTTTATCATTTATTATTTTTAACTAATTTTAATCAAATTATGTGATGTAGTTATTTGGTATCTTCAATCGGAGGGAGTATTGATTAAGATTATGAAAAGTTGTAAAATTTAAGTTGTTGACAATAGCTAATTTCAACTTATTTTCTCAGCAAAACAGGCAGCGAAACCTTATAAAAAGGAATAGATAAGTAATTTAATTTGGTTTTGGCCACCAATCTTATCATGTAATTTATGCTTTTACAGAATCTTCGGAACTTAATCGAAATTACGCTCATGCTTCAACAGACTTGATTGAACTCCCAGATTTTTCCAAGGCCACACGTCTTGAAGATGTTAGTCTCATTATTGTTTAAAATTGCGGAGTGTTCATCCATCTATTTTATCTCTCCCCAGCCTGCATTGTTTAGGCTACAGTATTGCCAGTCCCTTACCAGCCTTACAAGCGATACCCCTCTCCAATCTCTCAGTCGGCTCGATGTAAGTTATTGCTCAAGTCTGGAGGAATTTTCAGTAACCTCAGAAAATGAAGAGCTCTGTTCACACCTTTCAGGAGCTGCCATCAGAGGTGCGTTGCGCTCATCAAGTGGGCATCGCAGCAAAATTCGTGACTTAGCTATAGCCAATTGCGGAAATGTGACAAGCGACCTTCGAGGTGTTGATGCTGGAGGCTGTAATGAGCTAGCGTCACCTCTCCTGTCCAAGTGTGATAAGATGGGTGCTTTGGAAAGACTAGGGCTTCCGTATTGCAATGAATTATCTGAACTTCCTAATGACATCAGGTTGCTGTCATCATTACGTCACTTACATCTCTCACAGACTAATGTACAGACCTTGCCTTCGAGCATCAAACATCTTTCACTCCTGCAACGTCTTGGCCTGGAGGGATGTAAAAGGCTTCGTTGTCTACCAGAGCTCCCTCCCTCTGTCTTGCAATTGTTTGCAATGGACTGCATATCCCTTGAGACCATACAATATTCACCTTTGACAAACGAAGGTGAAGAAGGAAAAGATAAGGCATGTCCACGCTTTTTATTCACAAATTGCAAGAAGCTGAATCGACGGGCAATCGAAGCTGCTGAGGCAAGAGTGCTACTTGCGATAAAGAAAGCCACTTATGACGATGCTATATTGGAATATCCAGGAAAAATAGTTCCAAAGTGGTTCAAGTTTAAGAGTACTGAAGAGGATCCCATGACTGTGAATCTCAGTTCGATTCCAAATTCTGAGGATGGGGGATTCCTTTTTTGCGTCGTCGTTTCTAAATTACCATCAGGGGGGGAGAAATTGATGCCGAATGGTTTATTGATGGTAAATATGCTTGCAGGGCCTCTAAAAGCCCGTTTTACTTGTATGGGCAGTCCTCAAAGCATGTTGGTCTTTGGTATGATCCTGATTCACTTGGAGAACTAAAAAGGAAAATTGAAGAAAGGAAAAGAAATGGTCAGAGCAACATGGAGCTTAAAGTTAAATTCGAAGTTCGTGGGGATGATGACAGAACGGCAGAGATCAAAAGGTGTGGAGTATGCCCAACATCTGCGGTTGAATATCAAGATGGTGACATTAAACAAATTCAATTGCCATGGCCTCCTCAGCCTAGCTCTAATGCAATGGAAGCGGCCTCTCTCTCTCGAAAGCGCAAATGCACTATAACTTCATACGGATCAAAAGGTGACATTCGTTCGGATGATGACAGAATGGTAAAGATCAGAAGGTGCGGGGTATGCCCGATATCTGCGGATGAATATCAAAATGGTGACATTAAACAAAATCAATTGCCATTGCCTCCTCAGCCTGGCTCTAATGCAATGGAAGCGGCCTCTCTCTCTCGAAAGCGCAAATACCACAGCTTGCTTCGATGAATTTGAAGAAATGATTTTGAGTTTTAAAGCTCTCAGGTTGAATTGATCTAAACACTATAACTTCATACATCACTCTCGTGCATCCACCTCAAAATGGTATACTCTGGTTTTAATTAGTAGTTATAGACATGATTTTTGCATGTTTGTACGTACTAATTACCGCATCCTTATGTTGTACTATTGACATGCATATGATTAATTTAACATTTTTTTTCTATTGAGATTTGATTCTATTCTTGAGGTCTGAGGAGTCCAAATTGCATTGCTGATCTTAACCTTTCTTTATTGTTTTAAGCTAAGATGATGGGAGTGACGATTACATTCGACTATTGACCTCGGCATATTACGGCCACGACTTTCTTTCTGTTGGATCTTGAAGAGTTGGATTCAACTGGACATTAAGGTGATTACTTCTTAACCAAGCAGATTGAGAAAGAAAATGCGAATTCACCTCCTATGTGCAAATATGTTTTGTCTCCATTTGCCTCATTGCTGCATCTTCTCTGATGGTCGAAGAAATATATGGAGCTTGAGTTTGAGGAAGCCATTGAAGGAGTTTGCAGACATAAGAAATAGATGTGAGCTTGATTTGTTTTCTGTTATAGAATGAACCAACTTTATAAAATCAGTTCAACAGATTGAAAGCCTTCTCCTGTAGTGTCTTCGGTCATCGGCGTCGATGATTCACCGGTCGCCGCCGCGCGTGAAGATGGCCCCCTGAAGATTTGGACATTTTCCACCTGACACAGAAGGTGCGGAATAATTGCTTTTTGTTTAGCATTTTATAAGCTATGCTTCGTTTGCCTTTTTATAACGTTGCATTTGGACCTGACGTTCAAGTTTGGAAGGCCGCTCATATATCTTGTTGCTGTATGGTTAATCAAGTTAAAAAGTGCTTGGGATCTTAAAACAATTAATGGCTTGGTTCCCAAGTTTGAAGAATTTTCGAGACTAAAAGAAAAACTTCAGAGAGTCAAATATTATCAGTCTTGTGGCCTCAAGTATCTTTAAATTGCTGAAATTACGTTTCGTTTTGTAAAAAAAAGAACGTTTTAAAAAAAAATCCAAATGGTTGCCCTGGTCATTGTCAATATGTCACCTTTTTGTTCTGCTTCCTGGTTACATATGTTAATACATGTCATTTAAGGACTTGCCTGGTATATGGTAATGCTGTTGCAGGCTGTGCTTGGTTCAACTGGTGTCTCATTATATGGCAGATGGCTTTGTCACCATCTAAAAGTGACGTTATTAATACTGAAGCAGAGCCTGATCACATGAGGAGATAAGAATGGATCATTTGTCTCAATAATAGGGACAAGGATCGCGAAGAACATGAAACCAGCGGAGGTGAAGAAGATTATGACCCACCCAATTCTCTTAAAACACTTGAGTATCCACCCGTAGCAACTGGTTGTGATTATGGATCTGTGCAAATATATGCTAATTCAGGGGTGTGCTATTTGCATACTCTGATCTAAAGTTCTTAATTGCCTTTTTGATATAAATCTATGTATCAGCGCCGCCTAGTTCTTAATTCTTTTTCCTTTCTCTTGGAATTATCTAAAGTTCTCAAGGTTCCATTTCATTTTGATCTGCAACACTGGGTCTTTTTTTCCCTTGCATATATAACTCTGTCAGTGAGGATTTTCTGGGCACAAAGGGCCTTTAATCTTCGCTTATGGTTGGAATGAGTCGCTTTCTTCACGTACTCCGTGCGTCTTCTCTCCGTTCTTTGCAACGTCCGCAGATAAAAAAAGAAAACTTTGGGCTTGTTTGATTCTTTTTTTTTTGTTTTCTTTTTCCCAAAACAATTTATAAAACTGTTTTTTTAAAAAAAATTTGAAAATAAAAAACAAAAAATATTTGGATAATTATTTTAAAAATTTATATTTGAAACAAAAAATACAAAAAAAAATCATATTTGGCAAGTGGTGACCGTCACTAACAGTGATACATGTCAGGGGTAGATACGAAGAAAAGAATGTTTCCCAATATTTCAAAATAAAAAAAAACAAAAACACAAAAACAAAAACAGAAAAAATCTAAAAGTTGTTTTATTTTTTTTTCTTTTAAAAAAATATTACTGTTTGTTTTTTTTTTAAACAACCAACTAAAAACAAATTGTCAAGCAAAATTTTTTTTTTGGTTTTCTCATTTTTAAAAACAAAAAATTGTTTTGAAAATAAGAAACTAAACAAGCTCTTAATCTTCCGCTTCTTATTTTCAAAATAGGGTATTCGTACTTTGGTCGCTCTATTCACAACACGCGTCACATTATATTCTGCATGTGCTCGTGGTTCTCCATCTCATATTTTCAGGCTTATGGCTTCTTGAGTAATCAAATTCAAAGGGGTTGTCCGGATAGGTTTTTTAATTATGGGCATTAGTTTCTAATCTCATATATAACTGGTATGGATTCTGCCTCAAAATATAAAATAAAAAAGGATTTTTAAAGATAAAATGATGAAATAAATTTTTTTATTTGTTACTGACATAATAAGATATTATTATCCATAAAGTTGTCTCTATACATTTATATTTAATGTATAATTTGGTTAATTTTGATTTTATTTACATCTATGTGACAAATTTAATTAATCCAAGTATATGCTGAATGAGGACAATGTCACTAATTACCAACATTATTTCTCTTACAAATTAACAACTTGTAAGTACAGGAACCGATACCTATAATTAAAAAAAAAGGTAAGAACCTAATTAAAAAAATTACGAAAGCCTGATTAAAAATCAAGTAACTATAAAGATTTATGAATTAGTTTTCCCTAAATCTTAATCACAAAGCATCGAGACATGAGAATCATAATTGTTGGCCCAAAAAAAAGGGATATTCAAAATCAGGAAGACCTTTTATTAAATTTGAATCATTTGTAATTTTCTGATTAAGCTTTGGGTGAAGACCTTTTGAGAAATTTGGCAGAAAGTGTCAAAGTAATCAGTTTCCCAATCACGCATTAAAACCCTCCGGAAGTCACGCGGAAACGGGTAAAACCTCAAGTCGTACTTTAAAACCAATTACAACTATATCCCACACTAAAGAGATCGATGTTGGACAAATGAAACAAATTTTTAGACCCTATCTTTAATTTATATATGCATAATATTGCACCAAAAACAGAAGGAAAAAAAATCAGTTTCATTTTAGATTATTTATCCGCCTTCAATACTGTTGCATGTGTAATCATTAAGAACTTGCAAGCGTGCCGATTTAGTTCCTCACTTCCACACTTGGTGTTTATTTCTTTTTCACCCGCTTGTAATAGCACAGTAAAATTCCAACACCAGCTTTCTTTCAAATGCCTTAGCCCTGTTTGTTTAAATTAACTACTATTCCTCTTGTTTTTAATATAAGACTCAATTCTTGAGTTGGTTCTAGTCCTAAATATAAGACCCATTTTTTATATTTATCAATTTTTTTCTAAATTATCTCTATAGATACTACATCAACTATAATCAAGTAGAAGAGGGAGAGAGTATTAAGAAAGATGATTATAGTATTTTAGAAAAAATGTGTTACTTTTCTTATAATTAACTAATTTACCCAATTTTCTTAATCTAATCAAATTAGTTAAATGGGTCTTATATTAAGGATCAAAAGAGTATTATTTATGAAAAACATAGATTAATTTATATTCTAAAGTGTTTTTTAATCATTAACTACTTTCAAATGAATTTTTTTTGTCATAATCAATATGAAGATTTTGAGAAAAAATTTATAAGTTTGCGAAAATAAAATGTTAAATCAAAATAAGTCTGGGAGGGAGTAATACTTTTTTTTTTTGGCCAAAGGGAGCAGTACTATTTTACACCAGAAAAATCCACACAATGAAAATTCATCCTTATCAATTTATCTCCACATTAATTCACCCCTGCTGCAACGTGTTCCACGAGTTCTGTGATTCCTTACTCCTCACTTGCAATGATCTAAATCATTGGGATTTGAACCCTTTAGATTCTATAAAGTCATATGATCGTTCAGCCATCAAGTCCATTTGTTAAAATGATATAAAATAATACATAAAATAATTATCAAAGCAAATGATCCTATCTTAAGAAATTTACCGCAGTCGAGGCGGAGTTTGCTACACTTTAAAGTGAGATTCATCATTTTACGTAAGCAAATCACGACACGTTTTATCAATTCCACACTTAGGACTGTTCATATGATATGCCATGTACGTTCTGGGGAATTTGCTACATCATAGGCGAAATTTACTACTCTTTTAATGAAATTGTCAAAAAGTTGTTTAAATGACATTCATCAAATGGTGTCACCTGGTGTTGTCGGTAACTTGGTACCACTTGCAGGGTAGTACATGATGACTTAAATTGTGACCCGTGAAAAAAAAGGTTATAAATTGCTAATGTGAAATGGTGAAAATTAGTCACGCGCAATCCGTATCAGCAGCGTTTACAGCGGTATCTGCACAATTTCCGTGACGTACCCTATTCCGTGTTTATTACTCACACCATCTTTATTCATTGACTGGCTTTTTGGGCTTCACCTCAGACCCCACTCAAACATGAATTCCTTTTTCATTTCCCGAAATTGAAATAAAAATTTTAAAAAATAGAAATCAAATAAGGGCTTAGGTTTCTCCCAAGGTTTGCTGGATGTTTCACCGCTAGAAAGGCTTCATTTTGACTGGAAAAAACATGATAAGACTTTCTTTTTTCTTTGGACCAAAAGGTGAGGACTTGCATTGTAAATGTAATGCGAACATATTATTATATATTATTACTATTTTTTGAACAGGATAGTTATTTGTTCAGTTTTATATTTCTCAATAGCGAACACATACGCCAGACCTCAAGAAAAGGAGTAGAAACGAAAATTAAAAGGTAGAGTCAGAGTGCTTTATTAAGAGGGGGTTTGGGTAAGAACAAAATCATGGTTTCAGAAGTGCTTTTACGGTATGCGAAGTAAATATGTAGAGGAGTTTGTCTCGATTTATGAAAAAATGCTTTTGAAAAGTGATTACGGGGTGTTCCAAACACCCCCTTAAATGAATTTCAGTAAGAAATCTGATTTTATTTTTTTACTTTTTACGAGCTGCTCGTAGGAAATTGGATAAGGCTTTTGGGTCAAGGTCACTGTAATTTCCTATAGTGCTGTCTTATCCACCTACTCAGAGCACTGGAAAATTCCAACTTGGGAGGACTGCCTTTCTTTAATCAGGGAAGCTTCTCACAAGGCACACGGAATCGAACTTAGCTTTGCTTTTATTTGTAATTTACAATTATTTATTATTCATTTTGTTTCCTATATATACAAGAGAATTCTAATTTTTCCCCATATCAGAGCAATCTGATATGGCTTCATCTTCCTCCCCTGCTCCATCTTCTCAATATCCAAAGCCACATGATATTTTTTTAAGTTTTAGAGGTGAGGACACCCGCGGAAATTTCACCAGCCATCTTTGCCATGCTCTTCGCAGAAGCGAAATAGAAACATTCACCGACGACGGAATTGAGAAAGGAGATGAGGTATGGCAATCTCTTGAGAAAGCCATTGAAGATTCAGCTCTGTTCCTTGTGGTGTTCTCAGAAAACTATGCATCTTCCACGTGGTGTCTGAATGAGCTTGCAAAAATATTGGAGTGCTGCAAAAATCAAGGTCACCGTGTTATGCCAGTGTTCCACAAAGTAGATCCTTCACATGTGAGGAAGCAATCTGGGAGTTATCAGAAAGCATTTGAAGAATTTGAGGGCAAAGGCATCAGCAAGCAGATACTGCAGAAGTGGCGGGAGGCTCTCGCTGAAGCTGCTGGTATATCTGGTTTCCCCATCACCGATAGGTAACTACATGCTTATGATCTTTCTCTTACCATGTTCTTGCATGATGAATGGGGCTAAATTAAATCAATCTTTGAGCATCTCACGGGATTTGATAATCATAATGAGAGGACAGGATCTCATATATATACACTTTGCTTAGCCAGTCCACTAGGCCCATCAACTTTATTGTTACGATATTTTTCATCTGCATCCCCGTCTCACTATGGTCATTATGATGCATTCATAGGCATTAAATTAAGCTGAAATTTTATATATCTAGTTTAAGGTATCTGGTACTTCCTCCGTTGAAAGGGTAAAAAGGATAACTTTTTTATCCAAAATACTCTCGCTTACTATGAGAGATAGAATGTGTGGTAATTAAATAGGATAAAATGAGAAATAAACAAACCAAATTTGAGACAACTTTCAAATATCTCTTATAGAAAGAAACATGACATACTTTACAATTACCTCTTATAATTATAATAAGGAGCAGTTTCCGAAGAAACTATTAATAAGAACACATTTGAAAATTGACAAGTATTCAAATTTGCATTTTATTAGGAATAGTTTAAAATTTTCAATAGATAAAGCGATATTAAATTTGGTGCATCTTTGCCTTGCCAATGGCGTGCAGTGATAATGAAGCAGACGAAATTGAAAAAATAGTGGAAAGTGTTAACAAAAGGTTGCCCAATCAGTATCCCGAAGAAAATGAAGAAGACTTGATTGGAATTGAAGAGAGAATGCAAGATGTAGAATTATTGTTGGACATGGAGTCCAACGATGTCCGAATTATTTGCATTTGGGGGATGGGCAGTTTGGGCAAAACAACTCTTGCAAGAGCGTTGTATAACAAGTGGTGTTCTGAATACAACGGGTCTCATCATTTTGTGGAAAAAGTGGGAGAAAAATCAAAGAATCATGGAATACAGGCTGTGAAGAAAGATCTTATTAAGGCATTATTAGGGGACAACAATTCTCACACTAGTTCTTATGACATGAGGAGACTTAGACGGAAAGAAGTTTTTATTGTTTTTGATGATGTTAATAATTATGATCAAGTGAACAATTTGGTTGGAAGGCGCGATTGGTTTAGACCAGGCAGTAAAATCTTAATAACAACTAGAAATAAAAAAGTCCTTGGTAATGTAGATCGTGATGCTATATATGAACTGAAGGGTTTGGATTCTAAGGAGGCTTTTCAACTTTAATTTTCTCTTTACATGCCTTCAGAAAAGACCGCCCTGCCCCTGACCCAAAACTAAGAGGGTTGGCAAAGAAATTGACTAGGTATGCAAATGGAAATCCACTGGCCCTGAAAGTTTTAGGTTCCTCCTTGGCTAATGAGAAGGATCAAGAAGCTTGGGAAAGCCGATTAGAAAAACTTCGAAAATCAGCTGATCTAGAAATTAACGAAGTCCTGAAAATAAGTCTTGAAGGACTTGATATTGAAGCGAGAGAGAGTTTCTTGGATATTGCATGTGTTTTAACTGGTGATGATACTGAGGGACGTGTTCTAACTAGGGATGTTGAGGTGGTAAAAAATTTGTTAAAAGCACGACGTGGTTATTCAACCGTTTTTGACTTGAACAGACTTAGAGATGCAGCTCTTTTAGAAGTTGATGAATTTGGGAGAATATTAATGCACGATCTGCTAAAAGAAATGGGTCGGCAGGTTGTTCGTGAAGAGTCAAAGGATCCTAGAAAGCGTAGTCGATTATGGGATCCTAAAGATATATCTGAAATATTGGAAAACGAAAGGGTAAGAGTGAAATTTCTGCTTTTTTTAATATGAAAAATCGTTGAATTCAATATTCCTATTTGTTTTACATAATATTTTTGTCACTAAAATTATTTTTTCCATTTGTTAGGGAAGTGAAGCCATTGAAGGTGTAAGTTTGAACCTTCCAGAAGTTGGAGAGATGTGCTTAAGTCCTGGAGCCTTTCGTTCAATGCCCAACCTAAAGATTCTTAATTTTTATTTTTTCCTCCTTTTCGATGGTGAGGGTGAAGTCGATGGTGGGGATGAATTCAATGTACAAATTCCTGATGGTATAGATTTTTTGCCAGAAGGACTCATGCAATTGCTTTGGAAGGCATGCCCTTTAGAGTCGCTGCCAGCACCATTCAGAGCTGAAAATCTTGTTCAACTTGACATGTCCAACAGCAGATTGACAAGACTTTGGGATGGAGTGCAGGTGAATTTTATTTTATTTTTCTTAGAAAATATTGTTAATACATCAGTTCAGTTGGAAAATCTTTATTAAGTACTCTCTCCTCTGTCCATTTTATAGGGTTCAGATAAAATCTCTTACAAAATTCAATGAAATATGGATAACCCATTCTAAATAAACGCCTTCGTCTTTCACCCTCACACTAAGCTCCATGACCTTTACTTATAAAGATTACTATCTCTGTTGAACTATAAGCATCAAATCTTTGAAGCTTTTTTTTTTAGCTGAATTTTTTTTAATAAGTTATAATTTGGATTTACCTAATCATTAAATACATCATTTTTATTTTACTTTTAATTAATTATATATATTTCTAATTCTTCTTTTTTTTTTTCACTCATTCTCTCATATCTCTTTTTCTACATATTGTTTCTCTTATCCTCTCCATAAACAAACAGGTTTTAAGAAAACAAGTTACATTTTCTTTAATTATTTATTATTTTAAACTAATTTTATTCAAATTATGTGATGTAGTTATTTGATATCTTCAATCGGAGGGAGTATTGATTAAGATCATGAAAAGTTGTAAAATTTAATTTGTTGATAATAGCTAATTTCAACTAATTTTCTCAGCAAAACAGGCAGTGAAACCTTATAAAAAGGAATAGATAAGTAATTTAATTTGGTTTTGGCCACCAATCTTATCATGTAATTCATGTTTTTACAGAATCTTCCGAACTTAATCGAAATTACGCTCGCTCGATCAGAAGACTTGATTGAACTCCCAGATTTTTCCAAGGCCGTCTTGAACATGTTAATCTCAATCTGTGTTCAAAATTGCAAAGTGTTCATCCATCTATTTTATCTCTCCGCAGCCTGCGTGGTTTATGGCTAAAGCATTGCAAGTCCCTTACCAGCCTTACAAGCGATACCCCTCTCCAATCTCTCCTTCGGCTCTATGCAGGTGGTTGCTCAAGTCTGGAGAAATTTTCAGTGACCTCAGAAAGTGAAGATTTCTATTTAGACCTTTCAGGAACTGCCATCAGTGGTGCGTTGCGCTCATCAAGTGGGCATCGCGGCAAAATTCGTTCATTATCTCTAAACAATTGCAGAAACGTGACAAGCGTTCACAAATTGATTAAGCTGCGTGACCTTCGACGTCTTGAAGCTGGAGGTTGTAATGAGCTAGCATTAAGTCTCCTGTCCAAGTGTTATAATTTGGAATTTCTATGGCTTGCGGATTGCAATGAATTATCTGAACTTCCTAATGACATCAGGATGCCGTCATCATTACGTGAGTTAGTTCTCTCACGGACTCATGTGCAGACCTTGCCTTCAAGCATCAAACATCTTTCACGCCTCCAACGTCTTAGACTGGATGGATGTAAAAGGCTTCGTTGTCTACCAGAGCTCCCTCCCTCTATCTTGACATTGATTGCCGCTAACTGCATATCCCTTGAGACCATACAATATTCACCTTTGACAAACGAAGGTGAAGAAGGAAAAGATAAGGCATGTCCGTGCTTTATATTCACAAATTGCAAGAAGCTGAATCGTCGGGCAATCAAAGCTGCTGAGGCAAGAGTGCTACTTGAGATAAAGAAAGCCACTCATGACTATGCTGGATTGGAATATCCAGGAAAAAGAGTTCCAAAGTGGTTCATGTATAAGGATAAAGGGTCTTCGGTGTCTGTGAATCTCAGTTCGATTCCAAATTCTGAGCATGGGAGATTCCTTTTTTGCGTCGTCGTTTCTGAATTACCATGGGGGATAGAAGAAATTGATGCCAAATGGTTTGTTGATGGTAAATATGCTTGCAGGGGAGCTAAAAGCTCGTTTTCCGTGTTTGAGCGGACGTCCTCAAAGCATGTTTGTCTTTGGTATGATCCAGATTCATTTGGAAAACTAAAAAGGAAAATAGGAGAAAAGAAAAGAAATGGTCAGAGCAACATGGATCTTCAAGTTAAATTCAAAGTCCGTTGGGATGATGACAGAAGAGTAGAGATCAAAAGGTGTGGGGTATGCCCGATATCTGCAGTTGAATATCAAGATGGTGAAATTAAACAAATTCCATTGCCATTGCCTCCTCAGCCTAGCTCTAATGCAAACGGAAGCGGCCTCTCCAAAACGCAAATATATGAAAATCTTTAAAAGAGAAATAGTGATAAGAATATTTATTTATTTTTTAATTCATTCTTTTATGGTAAAAGGGGCTGGGTTTTATCATTGTTAGGTGAGCTTGGGATTTTATCATTTAAATTCATCACTCAGCCGTTCACTTCACCATCAACTACAAATCTAGAATGAGGCTTGGTTGCTCCTTTCACAAAGAAGCCGTCTCAAGTTGAATGATCTGCCCACTTCAACGTGATAGATCGATTGGCATTACAGCCGCAACCTTATTCTATTGAATCTTGAAGAATTTCAACAGCTGGATTCAACTGAGCGAGTCCCTCCAATTCCTTGCTACCAAAAGGTGATGATTTCTTACTTCTAATATTTCATAATTGTCCCAAATTTTATAGCTACAAATTTATAAGATGTTTGAGAGGCATAAATATTTAGTTAAGGCCTCAGGAAAATAATTATTCTATAAAAGTTTACTATTGAGTAAGAAATATAGGAAAATAAAGAAGGAATAATTATTAAAAATATATAGTGACCTAAAATAACTAAGAAAAAAATTATAGATGACTGTTTTGGGAGATAAATGTGTTTATAGAAAAAAATTATAGATGACTGTTTTGGGAGATAAATGTGTTTATGGATGAATAAAAGGGTAGAGATAATTTAAAATCTATTTTCCTAAATAAAAAGCTTATTTTCATGAGAAATTCAAGAAAAATAGTTACATGTTAATTTTCAGCCTCTAAAATTTAGAAAAGTTATTTAGTGAGTTAAAGAAGCTAAAAAAAAAAAAAACTCTTACAAAATGCTGAAGATCAATTTTAAAAACTATTTAAGATTAAAGTAAAAATTTAGAAAAAAAGGTAAAATTGAGATAGGAGGTATCTTGAAAGGAAAAATAACTTTTTGTCTTTTACCCCAATTATATGCGTCTTTACCCACGATGATCATCCCCAAATTCTCACGTTCGTGGCACGTTCTCTGCCTCCTTTGCACTACCTTCAGCCGCCTGTTTCCCTTATATCAGATCTCCTTCAACACGCTTCCCTTCTCTTTCTTAGACAAGTAAGCTTGATGGCGTATATTAGAGTGAGAGTCTGAGAGACTGTGGGGAGGCCGATTGAGAGACTGAGAACGAGAGAGAGAGTGAGATCCAAGCAGGGAAGCTTTCGGGGAGGAGATAGATTACGTGCAAGTCGGCTTTCGAACCAAGGTGGACTCCTAAGTCTTCTCCCATCTTTTATTTCTTCGATTAAATGATTTCAGTAGGAAAGGGGTGATTGAATTCTGGTTCTGAGTGAGGGGAAAATGATGATTAAAGGTTCGAAACTATAACTAGAGATAGATTAAGTTAATATTTAGCATTGCATGTGTTGGATTGATTCTATTTTCTGATTTCGAAACCCGATGCTTACTGTTTGTGTGTGTGTGTGTGTGTGTTCGTATTGTTCGAGTTATTTCCTTCCTCTGAATCATTGTCATTAACCGATGAGATGGGTTCAGTTGGGAGAGAAATCACCGATTGGGTGAAGATTAAAGCTTGGGTAGTTGAAAAATAAAATTGATATAAAATCAGTGACTCTGTTTTAATGTCTCTTATGTGGTTGCATGTCGATCATTGGCCATTGGTTTTTGGATTTGAGAATCTGTAGCTCCTCGCACTGGAGGAAACATTCGAATTCTTGTGCCAGCATTACTGATTTTCAGAAATTAAAAGAATAGTTGACTCAGGAATAAGAACTGTATATATATTTATATAATTGCTGAAAATAGAAGTTTTATGTAAGAAAGCGGATTATCTGTAAGTTCCCTTATTTTGATCTATAAATGCAAACGTGCACTTGCAGTCGGGTTCTTTCTTGATTGAGCTAAGGGGAAGTGATTTAAATGTGATACTGCTGTCATTGATATTAAATAAGAGTCTCTAAACGGATTCGAAAATGTTGGAACAGGGAGATTGAATAAGAATTGTATACTTGTATGTTGCCATGAGTCATGGGATTAGGATTATTGAGTTTGAAAACTGATTATAAATTATTGTTTGGGGCTTCTGAATGTTAAACCAGAGATTCAAGGCGTTAGAGTATGTTTTAAGGATGCTTAAATAATGATCGAAACAGTGTTCTTGAAATTGGAATCTGTTGAGTTGTAGTTTATATGATATATTGTTAAAATTGGAACTGAATAATGTATGAGAACTTGCTGGTTTATACTTCTGAATATTAAGCCATTACAATAACTTATGAGCTGGGTCTAGAGACTCTTGAATGATGGTTTAATATCTGACATGAGAGCTAAAATTTTCAGGGGAGCCGTTCTGTGTACACTGAATGGTTAAAGAATTAAAAGAAGCATGCCTATGTTACGAAACTAGAAAATAATTTCCAGGTTATATAGTGCTACTGTTTGAAACGTCTGACGGTTAAAAGTTGATTATAAACTTGTAAGAATATGAGTAAAGCAAGTGAATGCAAGGTGGTCTATAGGGATGCGTGTAATGGACTTTCTTATTCATGTTTTCTAGTTGCTGAAATTGAATATTATTGTCATGAAATATTTTTGTACAAGTTGATGATTGACACTGTCAATTAGTGAATAATTACCTTATATGTTATGGGTCCGTGTTAGATTAAATGCTTAGGGGTCATAAGCTGAAAAACTCCTTGTTGATTAATATCAATACATGAGATAAAGCCATAAGCTGAATTATATGTTTAGATGTTAAACTGTTATTCTTAGCTATGTGAATGAGATTGAATGTTCAAAACAGATAATAAAAGAAACCGAAATGCTCGATGAAACCATCCATGTTTGTGAAATGTATAAGACTGAACTAAACCTGAGGAACTAATTTGAAATTCCTTTAAATATCTCTAAATGTCAAGTTAATGTTCTACATAGCTATTTATGATCGAAGAGTATTTGAATGATGATTTAAGTTTGTTGTTTTGTGTTCCTGTATGCTAAGCAATTATTTAAGAAGCATGAAGAGTTAATAACTAAGTTAAATCGTACCGTCTTAGCTAAATCATAATAGAATAGGAACATAAGAGAAACATAAGAAAGGGGAAGAGTTAGAAACCTTTGGAAATGCGTAGATGAAGTATAAATTTTGGGCCAAGATGACCAGCTACCTTAAGAGAAGAGAGTATACCTGAGCAGGGGTTATAAAAAGATTTAGCTAGTTATGGGTTGACCAGAATCCGAATTTTAACTCATCCTATATATGTTCTTGTAATGTTAGGATTTAATTGGCGTTCTAGCTTACCAAGAAGAAACCAAGAGCAAGGTACCCGCACAGGAGAGTAGGCAGAAGGTAGCTTTAATCATCATTTTATATGTTTTGCTTTGGTTGCATGTTCTGGATGTTCTAACTAAACCTGTTCAAGAAAGAATCCCTAAGTCCATGCTCTTCGCGGATGATATAGTTCTTATGGCGGAATCAAAAGAAGAGATTAACACTAGTTTGGAGTTATGGAGAAGGACTTTGGAGTCGAAAGGTTTCCGTTTGAGCAGGAACAAAACAGAATATATGCATTGTGATTTTGGAGAGAGGCAAGGTAATAGGGATTTGGAGGTGAGGATGGGAGAGCAAATTATTCCTCAAGTTTCAAAGTTTAAATACCTAGGATCCATTATACAGGAGGATGGGGAAATTGATGGAGACATTTCTCATAGAATACAAGCTGGCTGGTTAAAGTGGAGGAAAGCTACAGGAGTTATTTGCGATAAGAAGGTACCTGAGAAACTTAAAGGAAAATTTTATCGGACTGCTATAAGACCAGCTATGATTTATGGTAGTGAATGTTGGGCAATAAAGGGAAAACAAGAGCACAAAGTCGGAGTAGCAGAAATGAGGATGTTGAGATGGATGTGTGGTCATACAAGAAAAGATAGGATTCGAAATGAAAAGATCAGGACAAGAGTCGGTGTGGCACCTATCCAAGAGAAAATGGTTGAAAATCGCTTAAGATGGTTTGGACATGTGCAGAGAAGGCCTTTGGAAGCCCCGGTGAGGAGGGTGGATCAAACAAGATGGAGTCCCATAAAAGAGGCAGGGGAAGACCGAGAAGAACGCTGAATGAGGTCATTGAACGAGACCTCCTAATCAACAACATATCTAAGGATTGGGTTGTTGACAGAGCACGATGGCGTCGTGTGATTCATGTAGCCGACCCCACCTAGTGGGATAAGGCTTGTTGTTTGTTGTTTGTTGCTTTGGTTGCATGTCTGTTTGTGCCATAATGCTATAGTTAAGCATGAGAACATGTAAATTGCCTTACCAATTATTGCTATGGCCATGTGCATGCATTTCGCTGTCCAGTATATGCACATTTAACAGCTGCACAGTTATTCAGTTAATCAAATAGCAGTTACACAGTTATGCAGTTAATCAAATAGCAGCTGCTCAGTTATTCAGATATCAATTGGCAGCTGTGCAGTTAATCTGTATGTATATGCTCAGTTAATCTCAGTTAATCAGTTAGCAGCTGCTTAGTTATTCAGTTACTCAGTTATGCGTAACAGTTATATGAGATTCAGTTAAATAACAGTGAATATGCCTCAGTTAGTTACTCAATTCAGTTATTTTGTAAGGTGTTGTTCTCCATGGCTTATTTTGCATGCTCAGTTTTATACCATGCATAATATATGAAATATGATTACTGCTACTAGGATTCTTTGAATCTCACCCCTCCTTTCTATTTAACCATAGGGCCCAGTTCATCCAAAGGAAAAGAGAAGCTGGTGGAAGCTTAGCTAAGGTGGAAGGAAAGAAGAGCTTAGTGTTTAGTTAGTTAATTAATCTGGAATATTTTTGTGTTTGTTTCCCCCTTCCTTTTGTGATGCTTATATTTCATTTTGTGAGGTTATGTAATTTCCACTTATGGGATGTATGTACCTTTATAAGGAGTAGCGTTTTGGGGGTAACTTAGCATGACTGGGTACTTAGCATACATATATGTATATATTAATGACCTTTCTATAGTATGAATGGTTTAGGATTTACTAAGTACGATTTATTAGAGCTGAAACAGAAAAGTAGAGTTTTCTATAGAAACATCTGTACAGCTCTGATAAATTGTTGTTGCTATTAGATCACGGTAGTACGATTTCAGGTCTTATTATATCATATAAAACTTTCAAAGTTTAAAGTTGTAAGTTTTGAGTCAAAGTAGATAAAAGGTTTTAAAAATACTACTTTTTTAGTGTAAACTCTCAACTATAGTTTTTAAATCTGCTTTCGTTAAGGTAAATAGAGTAGGATGTTACAATAATTACAGAAAATTAATTCTGCATCAGACTAAGGAAGAAAAGAAATCGAAGTCATAATATAATTGATGAAAATTTGCTTACCTTTAAAACCCGTGATCATATTTGTCGTTCCAATTTTGTAAATATACAAATCCAAGAAATGCAACTTTACAGGCAATTCATGTGGAATACAATTTATTAGCCTTTAAATATATGAAAATCCTTAAAAGAGAAATAGTGATAACCATATTTATTTATTTTTTTAATTCATTCTTTTATGGTAAAAGGAGTCAGATTTTATCGTCGTTAGATCCATTTAAGATAAATGGCCTTTTATTATACCATGGGAAATTTATCAGTAAGAAATTAAGGGAAAATTAATTTGTGGGTCCTTATAGTTTCACTGAATTTTAAATTAGGACCTTATAGTTTTTTTCTATTTAATCCCATCCTTATTATTTCGTTAGTTTTCAATCTTGGTCCTTCTGTTATATATGCCATTAGTTTAGGTTGATTAGGGGCTGACATGGCGCTGAATAATGACTGACGAAGCACATCATCTTCCTCACAGTTCCTCCTCCCCCGTCAGATTCTCCCCCTCCTCCAAAGAGCACGTGCTACAGAACGACGTTACTGCTCAGGCTATTATTGCTCATTCATTCTTGCTAAGCTAATATTTTCTTTAGTGGTGGTCATTGTGTTAGGAGAATGACGACGTTTGTTGGATTAGAGAATAACGCAAATTGGAACTTGTTCTAGGAGTTTGATTGGTATCATCATTGTTTTAATCGTCGGAAACGTTATCATAGGAGACACCAATTGACACAAATACAATGAAGGAGTTGGAAAGAACTTCTATGGCTTCATCTCCTCTCCATGTTTCAGATTCTTCTTTGTCAACATCTTCATTTGTTTTTTCTCAGAAGAGAAAGAATTATTGGAGCTGAAAGTGCTTGCTGCTTCCACTAGGTCCCACCATGTTCTATCCGTTTTACCAGGACCAATCTACTCAAGTGTTAATATATCCCCAAGAGTAGGCACCTCTCCTCCCCTGACCCCATGCCGCCGGTCGTTAGATCCGAGGATGGAACGATTGCGGAATCTCCACGTTGCCGCAAGAGTCGAAGCCGAGTTGCGACAGCTAGCAGCTAAGCACCACGATCTAAGCGAAGCTGGCTACTTACTCTCGGTCGACTCGAGCTCTGTTACTGCAGAGAGATCGATCGCCAAGGGAGGTGGCAAGAATGGGGGAGGAGGAGGGTACAATTACGGTCGCAAGGAGGAAGTGATGAATCTGAAACACAAAGTGAGGCTTCTGCAAGAGGAGATAATTAAAGATGATGGCGGTGGAGAAAGAGAGAGGTAACGATGTTACTTTGAAGGAAACTGTGTGGAGGAGGGGGAGAGAGAGAATCCGACGGGGGAGGAGGTGACTATGAGGAAGATGACGTGCTTAGGCAGACATTATTCAGTGCCATGTCAGCCCCTAATCAACCTAAACTAACGGCATGTATAACAGAAGGACCAAGATTGATAACTGAGGAAATAACAAGGATGGGATAAAATAGAAAAAAACTATAAGGACCCACAAATTAATTTTCCCAAAAATTAAATCAAACTCTGGATCTAAATCCATATCGTCAAATCTCGGGTTAGTGACTCAATGGTAAGATTTCTTCTCCCGAATTATGAGGCTTGCTGTAGATTCTCTATGTACTCTGCTAGGTTTCTATTAAATGAGTTCCATATAATTTCAGGACGAGTTTTAAGTGTCACTTGGAGTACATATGCTAATGATATGAATATGTGAAAGTTTTGGGTCATTTTTCACCGGTATATATGTCTGCCGTGATATGAATGTGTGGCCAGCTTCCTACAAACAATGAAGTAGAAAAAGCAGCTTAATGATCCCATACTTTTGTGTTTTGTCGAAACATCAAATGCTGGGTCCTACATTGGGTTATGAAATCCACAGAATTACAGCTGGGCTTTGAGGTCTCGGCATTGGGAGTGTCTAATATTTGATTCTTCAATTTGTATTTCAACCGTTATTACTTTGTTAGTTTTGAAAATGGAGTACTCTGGCTATCTTTTATGTGAAAACCTTTCTCGCTGGTTGTTTCTGTTTTAGGTCAGATCGTAGTAGTTGGTGTGGATATCTACTGAAAGACAGGAAATTAATTAACTAAACAAAATTGCTAATGAAGGGCATATTCCTTGTCCATGACATGGTATTAAAGTCTTTATGACCAATTACTAACTAGTCAATTGTTTGATCACTGCCAACTCCCATTCTTTTGAGCCATGTTAAATATGGAGGGCATATTCCTTGTCCATGAGTCCCCTCCTTGTTTTGGTCATTGCTAAATATGTAAACCATGCGCATTTAAATTTTAACATCTTATTTCCCTGCGTTAACAAAATTTTCAAACTGATGCCTGCTTTCTGTATTATATTTTGCACAAGTCTCAGTCACTGATTCTGTTCATTTGTTCTGTGCTTATTTTTGACAGATCGCTTGCCAGATAAGCAGAGTAGAAGGGCTCATTGTTCGATGAATCAGCAATGCTTATAGTGCAGTCTTCTCATATTGTTTAGATGTTCTTTCTGTACAACCGAAAGAAGCTTTCTTCCCTGATGCTGCACATGTCAGCTGGAGGCTTTTCAGAAACTGATCTGCTTGTTCAAGTTAAGAGCAGTCATCACGGAAGATAATTTGCCGCACCATTGCTAATTCAGGTGTGCTATTTGCATGCTCCGTTCATGTGAAACCTAAGCTATTTGAATTGAAGAGGCCTGAAGTTGGGAAAGTACATGGAGTGTTAGGGACAGGCAACTCCCTGGCAGACTGCGATTTGCTCATTCTATGATCTTTACTCAAGATTCCTCTTGGTTGATAGTAGTCAGGCATGTCCGAAGGATATATGTAAACTGGCACAAGCCTTTCCTTTCAAATTGTCTTTGTGAACCTCCAATTGCTTTTTTTTTTTTTGGGTAAAACATGGTGACTCATTACATTTTTTTTGTAGGTGATTTCTTATTGATGCTTGCCCCATAGTCCATCTCTTGACAGAGAAGTGTGATTGTTTGCATGATTTGATGATTACACTTTTTGTGAGCCTCTTTCAACTGTAGTGTTTTGTGTTCTGTGCTGCACGAGTCAGATGTTCCAAAGTGAAGGCTATATTAATTATTGCTATCCTATTTAGCATTTGGTGATTGCCATTCTGTATCTTCTCATATATTTGAAGCCAAATTAGTATATACTACTTTCTGTTCTTAATATAAGACCTTATTTAACTTTTATTTTGGTCATAATTATAAGACTCCAATCTACTTTGTCTATCATATTTATGCATTTTTTTCCAAAGTAGTTCCTCTAATAATAATAGTTTTGGCCAATAAACTTGATTGATAAAGATATTTTAGGAAAGACAATATTTATTTATTACAAATAATTAACTTAATCTCCTCAAATTAGTCAACTAGCTCTTATAATTAGGACCGGAGGTAATATGCTTGTACTATAAACTTCTAATTTCATTTTCAAGTAATCATGCAGGCAAGTGGTTATCAAAAGTGAAGGACAATCTGAGCCATTGTCTCTGTATGTGTGGGGTTTGTTCATAGATTAGGAGCAAGATGAGAAGTTACGTGCTACACGAACCTCCCATGATAAGAATGTTTGCCAGTTCTGATGGGCAGTGGCTGGCAACTGTGGATTGCTTTGGAGATGTGAATGTACCGTAATCTTGAAATAATAAGGTTAATTACTTTGTCCTTTAAATATCTTATTTGATGATTTTCCCTTTTGAATCTTTTCTCCATAGGCCAGTCCTTGTGGTCACAGCATTTCAATTGGTTGGGTTGTCTCTTTCTTAGGAAAGAGAGCAAAAGGAACATGTAGGATGCACATGCATGTTGGTCCATATACGTTTTCTGATTATTTTTCTTTTTGTCCTTTTGGGACATGAAAATTCTTGCACTTGACTTTCCTGAGATTCATATACTGCTTTGCTAATTTAAAATGTTAATTCTTTTTTTACAGGCAACACTGGTTAATTAACGTACTTATAGTTACAACTTCCTAAAATCGAGTGCATGCATTAGATGTAGAGGCCAAGCGATTGAGGGAACGGTCAAGGCTAGATTTATGGCGAGTATCTTTTCAATTCCCTGATCTTCACTTTTGCTTAAAAAATGACTGAGCCCACCTTAAAGTAAAGGAAATTAAGACTACTAGTTGGGGGTAAGAGTATAAAGATGGAAAGAAGTTTCAGGACATAAATTAGTTAAAATTATTTTATTGGTATGTATAAATTAGATAATTTTATATTCGGAGAACAATGGTTGTTTTCTACCCCAAACAAGACTGAGACTACTCTTCACCTAATGTGAACAATTGATTTATGTTTATTTTGGTTTATAAAAATGAGTGAGGTAAGAATGAGAATCTGAATAATTATACGAATGAAAATACAAATATTTTTTATAAAATAAATAATTGAGTTTGATATGTTATAAAAATAAATTAAATATTTTTAATTTATTTAGTTTAATGAGTAAAATAATGAAAACAAAGATAAATAAAATTAGTGTTACAAACTCCATCCAATGGAATAGAGCATCTTGTTGTTGGTGGT